ATTATCGCGAAATAAACATAATGATTGCCCTGACGATACCATCCTAAAAAATTTTGCTGGCTAAATTTCACGATCCAGTGTAACGCAAAAGAAACGCACAAATCGTTCTTAACTCAAAACTTTACTTATTTAGTAAAGTTTATTCTAATGGGAACACGATCCCAATCAAGGCAAACGTAACAGTAACACAATTCGGTTAAACCATAACATTGTTTTAATGAGCACGTTTGACAAACTTGGGCATGTTATATGAAATGGCAACAAAATTAAAACTATCGGTCCGATTTTGATGATTTTACTACCATTAGAACCAGAAAGGCCTGATGAACAACTTTTATTAAGGTCAAAAGAAGGGTTTTCTTAATAATAATACTTCTTCCGGAGCACTTTTTAAATTTTGGGGTGGCATCAACAAAAATGGGGTGGAAATAGCAGTACTCAATATTTAATACCCAATTTTATATATAATTATGTGCTTTAATATAATTTTTTCAAACTTTATAAAAACATAAACATGCTTGGACGGTCTCTTGGGCTTAGAAGCAAAAATTGGATATCAAAAATGCATACCACTACAAATTGTCCAGAATAATCGGGAAATTATTTATTCATTTACAATTTTGCACGTAACAGGTAATACTGACTATCCGCAAATCGACATAATGCTAGTCAGGCAAATGTTAAATGTGTATTTAGTTAATGATGCTTGAGGAAACTATTTTGCAAACTTTGATAACAGTTTTTTCTTTCGTATAACTTTCGAATAATGAATATACTATTCATCCCGGAAGATCTTTTCAATTATCCCCTTGCCTTATTTGTAATCGTCAATCGGGAGAATCTTTAAGCGATTGAAACAGATCTACACTAGTCCTATTTCAGTAATTGATAGTCCTTCACCGTGTGTATTTAGATTACCATCAAACACGGCTCGCCAGCAGTAAACCAATTACGCATGTTGGTAGAAAGATGCTAAAAGCACAAAATCAATAAACTTAATCAATACATTCATGCAATATCTGTTATTGTTAGTAGATTACGCGTTATTATATGAATGAGCTTAAAGGATATGTTCAATCCCGATCTCAAATTAGGTAGAATGCCTATTCGGGTTTGGGTAACATCACTACATCGTTCTCGAGGGACATTAACAATTCTGACTTGAAAGAACAATCAATAAATGACGTGACAGGCGCTGAAAAAGACCAATAGCAATACAACATTTACTCTTTGTTTTTCTTTTAAAAGAGCATTCCAGAAATTCGAACACCTACTTCCTTGGTTTCGTTCTAATTTCAACAAAAATATGCAAATTAACATATCAATCAAAACGTATTACCACAGCCATATATATATATATATAGCTGCAACGAGCATTACACCTCTCTCCTTGTTCCAGACTCCGTGGTAACGTAAATTAACGATAACAAAATCGTTTATTACCGATGGTTATATATGAGGGGAGTCAATAGAAAAGGGACAAATTTTTTCTAAGAAAAGTTTTCTTGACTTTAAACTTAAATATCTTAGCAATTATCTTATCAAATTTAATAATTTTTTTTTATTTTAATTCTAATAATTTCAAAATTTTTAGCAAATTTGATTAAATAGTTGTTGAGATATTTTAATTCAAAATTTACTAAAAATGATTTGTCTCTTTTCTATTGACTCCCCCATATATAGATATATGGCTGCAACCAGTATTACACCATCAGAGAAGAAGCATTACACCTCTCTTTCCTTGTTGCAGACTCAGCATTACACCTCTGTGGTATTTCACATACAGTGTGTAAATTAATAATAACAAGATAACATGTTTCCACGGCTATATACATTTATACCTGTAATGCTACCTACCTTGCAGTACATAAGAAAGCTTAAAAGCGACCATTCGCTTATAAATGCCTGAATAATGTAATCGTCCAAGGTCATATCGATGCCTGATGTTAAAAAAGCTATCTCGTGTGAATTCAGTAATTATAATAAATAATAAGATTATGCAAAACATCAAAGAAAAAAAAAAAATTTAGATATCCTACTATATATATTGTATTAATGTTAGTTGCAACGTAACAAGCGTTGAATAGATCTAAATAAAGTATGCAGTTAAGAGAAACATTAATTGAGTTATAACGCGTTGCTAATCAAATATAAACAAATTTATACTGTGCAACTAATAAAAATTGCAAGATCAGGTGTAACTCTAATGATAACAGATATAATTATATAATCATCGGATATTCAGCATCACGGAAGCGTCCTTCCGTTTCGCTTCGGTCAATGATAATTTCTTTAACGTATGAATACGTTATATGTGATAATAAATTATTAAGAACTTTCTTCACACTTTGCTTACAAAGAATGTAACAAAAAAGATATAATATAATTAAAAAAAAAGATTTCTTTATTAAAATATAAAATACAGTATAAAGAATACATTTATATCCAAGTTTACAAAAAATAAGGAATAATAACAACCCAACTAAATATAAACTTTTTTAACAGTTTTAAGCATTATTACATGCTAAAAATTCGATTGTCACGCGCCGTGAACTATTAAAAAGAATTTGATTCTTCATAAGTTATTGAATGTGACAATTAAGAATCACCAATTTTTAGCATCGACAATTTCGTCATCTCATGTGAGATACACTGTTACACAAATTTTTATACTGTTAATTGACCGAAAAATTTTTTTTATAAAGCATTTAAGAAACATATAAGCATTGAGGATCACATGGGATTGCGTGTTCCTACTTTTTATTAGAGACGATGCTGACCACTCCAGCATGTAATATAAAGTTATTACATTAAATTTCCAACTTTTTTTAGACCGAAATCTAATAAGCTAACTATATTTCTTTGAAGCAAAAGTTTCGAATTTTACGGGAATGAGTTATAAAATTACTATCGTTATACTATCAGGTGTATCAATAACGATAATATAATCCAATCTTTAATTTTAGCCAATTCTTGCTGATCAGCGAATCAAACAATCATCTGCTATACTTTGTACAAATTAATCAGATTTATATTAGATGCAATACACTAATTTTATATCATGTGATTTTTTGTGCAAAGGCTTTTTTTTACTCAATGTACATCTATTATCACAATTTACCCTTGGTGACTATGCACCTTCAAACATCCGTAACAACGTCTCCATGAAGTGCATCATCATTTAATATAACATCAACATCAAAATCAAGATCCCAATTAAATTCATCGTTGAGCACTTCTTCCATTTCCTTATTTTTAGTAGCTTCATTATCAACTTCATTATTATTGTTCGAGTCCTCCGATCGTGTTACACTCTCCACAATATCTTTATCGACCTGCAATGTCTCTTCATTATTATTATTATCCTTAGATGGAATAATCTTCTCTGTCATTTCATCAGGTACTGATACAAATGTACGTTCAGAAATAATATTTGGTGTATGATCCTTTTTGCCATTTGGATGTGAATATGCACAATCAGGCCTCCGACAATTATATCCGAATTTACACTGAATGGATAAAATAAAGTAAATAATTAATGTACTATTCTATATATATATATATATATATATATATTGTATATTAATAATTCATTAAAAATTTTATATACCGGAATATTTGTATTGTCTGTTTCCATATCCCATGGATGCATAAAATGACAATTTGGTCGTGTACAATGAGCTCCGTTACGACAAGGAGTTGGTACTTTAACAACATCACCACTATAATAAAGTTGTGTTAATTATATAAAAACACGTTACCAAAGATTTACCAAAAGTTTGTCAAATTTTGCATACCTATTATCAACATGTAAATATGGACACACTGGATTTTGGCAATTAGGATAAAATCTACAAGGCTCTTGGGTAGCCACTATAATATAGCAAAATAAATGGTTTATTTCTAATATAAATAAATAAATAAATAAAATAATAATAATAGTACATACAATTAGCAGGAGATGGATGTGTATAATGGCACTTTGGATTTACACATTCAGTTCCGTATTTGCAAGATACATCTAATATAGGTGATGGTATCGTACCAGTCCCAACAGCTGCAGGACTAGAATGTGCATACATACAATTAGGATTTGCACAATGTTCACCATATTTACATACAACTGCAAGAGCTTGGGAACTTTGCGGCAATGATGCAATGTTCGCGTCTTGAGCAGAAGACGTTCCTGTAGTAACATTTCTAGAAGTAGTAGTTATTGAAGTGCTCGCATTAACTGTTACAGATCCAGCACCAGATTTAGATTTTTGTTCTATATCACGCTGACCTTGGATATTTGACCCTTGTACAGATGTAATTTTATTATTAGAAGCATGTAAATTTGTTCCAAATGAATGTTGAATGTTATTCTGACTAAACGAGTTGGGTACGAATACACCCTGTCCCATTCCGCTAAATCCTCCCGCGCTCTGTCCAACTACGAAATGATTCATTGGATCTTGTCCGATTGGACCAAATCCAAAGGCTGCTTGCCCACCTGTACCATTTCCAAATGAATTTTGTCTATACAAGCCACCTTGTTCATATGCATTAAAATCTTGATTCGCAGGATGAATGTATAAGCAAGTTCGTGGTGAATTTGGACAATTAGGAACCATACTGATTAAACATAACAGACTTTAGTATAAATAAAGTAATTTAGTTTAATTTTTCTTAACAAAATTTTATAAAATACTTACGGACAAATTTCTGTTGGATGATGAAATTTACACTGAACACCAAGATCACAATTAGGCCAATGACGACAGCGAGAAATTTTAGATGTTAATGTGATATTACTATTGGATTGTGTAGGTATAGGATTGGCATTGGAATTTTGAATAAAAGCAGGATTGATATAAGCAGTCATCAAACCCCCTTTTTTTCCCAACCGATCTAAAACACTCCTTGGTTGCTGAACCTGCCGTGTACTTTGTTGTGAAGGACGTCGCTCATTAACTATTAATAATAAAGAATTTATTACAAACTGTTTAACAATTTAAAATCTGTAATGTAACCACTTTAATATAAATCATTTATTACCATATCTACTATGATCATGTTCTTCTTGCAAAACGTTATATGAACCTTGATCGCCTGATTGTCGTTCAAGCTTTATACGAGATATTTTATCATGAGAGTGATCTGTCTCGTGTACACGATAATTATCTATACTCGATTCCATCTCAACTTTTCGAGCTTTGACTTTTGGATCGTCATTAAACTGATCTTTGCCTGGGCTATAAGAACGTTTAGTTGTCCTATCTGTGCCGTTTTCCTCTGAATAATTACAAAGAAAAATTACAAATAAAATGTGATTACGTTAGAACTATTATGTAATTTAGTCTAATGACGTAAGTAAAGAGATTGTTATTTTGTTAAATATAGAACAAACCAAGCTTTTCTCCCGTCGTCCTCGAACTTCTATTTGCATCCTTTACCGCATTCATGAATAAACGTGAAGAAGCGGATGCGTTGACACTACCCGTTCTCCTATAAAAATATTAAAAATTTAATGAAAATCGGTCTAGATCGTGAATACTAGCGCGCTAATAAGTACAAACCTTTGTGAAGACCGTCCGTTTGTACTTCCAATAACCGATCGTACGCTTCGTGGTTCAATAGTTTCGCTAGAGTACATCCCTGATTTGGAGTGTTATATCGAATTTAAAAGTTGGTGGAAAAGTCTTTATAAGAAAAAAAAATATGTAACAACGTACAAAAATTATTATATATCAATTATCAATGCTAGATCAGATGATAATGGCTCTGTAATGATTGCGGCAATTGCTCAAAATATCAAGTTTGACCAATCAAATTGTAGAATTACGTTGACGCGAAAGAAAAGACGTTAAAATTACCCCTAAACCATTATCTTGCTGCAATACTGTATAAACTATAATTCAATCATCAAGCCTACAGGCAATGTTTATGGATAGTAACCATGTGAATAATATTAGTTAATAACTAATTCTAATACTAACTTAACTATATACCCAGAATTGAAAATTTTTATGCTTACGTGACAAACTAAATTACGGATTAGTGTAACGTAATACGATTCAAAATCTAAGCCGTTAAAAAATTTGAATCCAATCACGAGAAATACTTGCATTAAACATGATTGGCTAATTTTAGAATTTTAGATAAAATCTTCAGTTTATTATTATAGTCAGACCTCCCTAAGAGCGCTCATTCGGGGCCCATAGAAAAAAAAAATAAAATGTGTGCACTTAGAGAGGGTGTACATTTATGGGGAGCAAAACAAATAGAGCTCTTATAGGCTGGGACTGGACTATACCAAGAATTTACATAATCCGTGCACTTAGAGAAGTGAGTCACTATGTCCAAATATTTTTAATTGGAATTAGACATACTGTAGTCTACGTATTTAGGATTGGAATACAATTACCCTCGTTATAAGGGACTCCGTTATAGCGGGTACCTCGTTACAACAGAGTAATTCTCTCGAACAATTTAAAATTATTATTATTATAACGGACAGAATTTCTTAGCCCGATCACTACGTTATGGTTCAATAAAGCCCAATAAAAATTTTACTATGTCCAAATTGGTCCAATTAACAACACACTTAGGGTATACAATATTGTGTAATTTGTTAATTTGGTAGATAGATTTTGGCTATATCGATATAGTAGATTTTAGAAAGATAATCAAATCTGCTGCGCATTTTTGTGCGGCTCAATCATTAAATCTAGCTTATTGTTATGCTTTCACGATTAAAACCTGTAATGAAATTAAATTAAATACATAAGTATATTCCTATCAGCATTATGATCCCATTTTCTGGATTTTGGAAGATTACATAATAGCCAATTAAACCAAAAAATTCATTTATGTCAGGGTTCGGAGCCTAATCAAGAGGGTTGTTATATTTAGCGAAATTGCAAATTTTTTGATTTTGATGTCAGAAACTCACGTGAACGGAAATCGATCCTGGTGCTGTTACCTAATAAAAGAGGGAAATTCTATCATGTTCTACAAACTCTAAAATTTCCGTAGAATTTATAATGAACTAATATTTTATTACTGAAATAAAATAATTTGACATTCGACGTCTCCACATGAAGACCACTCACTTTCTAATCAGTTTCATCACTTTTTCTACCTTGTTTTTTCTAATACACAATTCGCAAGGATCAACTGATAACAAACCACCCCGTAGACACCTTTCGAGAACTTCAACAGGAACAACTGTTACACTTAAACATGTTTATCATTACGGGGGTTCTCGTTTTCCCAACCTTATACGCCGTAAAGATCTCAGCCAAGACTCTTTGCGCGTGCAAGAGCTTCTTTCTGGCATGACGTTTACCCATACCGTCAAGGCAAAAAATGGCACTAATGTTAAACCTTCAAATAAACATACTATAGAAGAATTCCAAGAAAAATCAAAAAATGAACAAATTTCATTAAATATGGATTGGGAAGAGGAATCTAATTTGTTACCTGACGTAGAAGATGAGGAAACTGTCAAGAGTTTAGCAAAAATGACCTATAACGCATATACCGAAGAAGCTGACGGAGACTGGTACGATTTGGGTGAGAATTATGGTGTGGTGGGTTTTGCTTTTCTAAGGGTTGATGAAAATATAGCTACAAATCAATCACTTTCTGTTTTCTATTTGATTCACTAATATTCGTCTCTTTTATTATGTTTGACAATAGAATTCCTCTTTTGGTTGGGAAAGTGATGGTGTCCGAGGACATGTTTTTAGTGACGAAGATAATGAATTATTGATAATTTCGATAAAAGGCACTAGTATGGGTATTGGTGCTGGACCCACCGTACCCAAAGATAAACTCAATGTAATTGTCAGCTTGACGTTTTATTTCATGAATTTATATTTTTATTCAACTTTTTTTTTCTTTTTTGTTCTTGCCTTTTTTAGGATAATTTATTATTCTCATGCTGTTGTGCTAAGGTTGATCCCTCTTGGAAAACCGTGTGTGATTGTCATATTGGAGGCTTTGATTGCAATCTGGATTGTTTGCAAGATAGCGTGGACGTACAAGAGAGATATTATACTGTTACCCGGGTGAGTAAATGATATATTGATTTTGTTAATACTTTTTGGGCTTATTTTCTTTTGCTAATTTTATGTATTAGAATCTTTTTAAGTTTATTTCTGATGCTTATCCGAAGTCAAAAATCTGGTTAACAGGACATTCTCTTGGTGGTGCACTTTCTTCTTTGGTTGGTCTCACTTATGGTATACCTGTAGTCGCGTATGAATCACCTGGTGAAAGATTACCAGCCAAAAGACTACATTTACCAGGTCCTCCAGCTATTCCGTATGAAAAAATGAATATATGGCACATCGGACACTCGGCTGATCCTATTTTCATGGGTGTCTGCAATGCAAGTATATTTTAAATTATTAAAACTGTTTGAACTTGTACTAAAAATTTTCAAATTTATTTTATATCATTTGTGTTCATAGGGTATGAGTAGTTCTTGCTACCTCGGTGGATATGCTGTAAGTCATCTTAAAATTTATGACTTTTATCTAGAGATGTTATTGGCTTGAATGGTTTGGCTTGGCTCAATAAACCGCAGCTGAGGACATACCATGGTCTTAATAGCTATAATATAAGCCATAGCTTAAGACATTAATAGCTTAAATTATAGCCTGTCATATTTAAGCCATAAATTAAGCTGTTCAATATAGGTTAAGCTACGGCTAGCTATAGTTCAAGCTGTTTTACCTAACATTAATTAAATAAGACTGTATTGCATTAGAATTGGAGCCGCTTAAAAAATTGTTCTGTAGTTCCGCCAGAATTATACGGTTAAAATGTTAAAACAGTTAAAAATTTCAAGCAGCTCTACTTTGCAGAAACTTGCAAAAAAATTGCTGTTATTTTTATCCTAAAATAATAATATAATTCATAACACCATGAAGACGTTATTAAAAGGTTGTTTTAAATTATATTAAAAATATGCTAATACCATTTTTTGCTTAATTATAGATTTATAATGGGTTTATAACTAGTAATTGTAATATGATAAAAACGTTTTAGGGTGTTATTAAAGCACTATGTTTAAAAATTCTTTTAAAAAAATCGATTTTTAACAATGTTTTTTATAACACCCCAAAACGTTTTTATCATATTACAATTACTAGTTATAAACCCAAAAACATCATTAATAACATAATTTTAATCCAACCTTTTTTTGATAACGTCTTCATGATGTTATGATTTATATTATTATTTTAAAATAAAATAACAGCAAGTTTCTGCAAAGTCATCCTATTTGAATTAGATTTAAGCTCCAAACTGCGTCAAATTTATTCTCAAAACTATATCTAAACTATGGCTGAAGCTGGCTTTAAGCATAAAAAGTCTATGGCTTCAAAGCTATGACTTATCCATGGCTTAAGTAATTGGCTGCAGCTAGAGTCAGCCATTCTATCATTTCATAATCCACAACTTAAGCTATAGATTGAATTATGTATGGTTCAAGCTATTAACACAGCTTGTCTTAACTCTAGCTTGGCCTAAAGCCGGTTTCACGCGAAGCTAATAACATCCCTACTTTTAGTTTTATTCATTTTATGATATTAAAAACTTTTTTATCCGTTTTTTAGATGGAAACTAAGTGTCATCTTGGAAAGTCATCTATGTTTGATGTCATTGGAAAATACAAATGGCATCTTAATATACAAAATCATCGTATCAGAGTTGTCATTGATGATATCTTGAATAAATGGGAATGGGAATATCCGGAATATCTCGTGGAGAGTGAATGTGAAGATTGCGGTGCTTGGAATTTCATTGAAAATATGAACAATCAATAGATTTGAATCTTTTTTGCATATATTTTTTTCTGTGATGTAATATTTAATTTTATCGTATAAGAAATAAAGTCTTTATACAAACCACTCTTGATGTAGTGGACTTTGTATATTGAAGAATTTTGAATTACGGAATTATTAAATTTCAACTCATTATAATTAAATACATACGGTATTCTCTCGATACAAGCTATAGAAAAAAATATTAGTGAATTGTATTAGACAATATACAGTATTTAAAGCAGATGTTTAAGGTGAATATAGATTAGGTAAATAGCAAATAAATAAATACGTATATCAGATATGTATAATATATAATAAATTAATGAAATTTTTATTAAAATAAAAATATGGATTTTTTGGTAAAGAAAGCATGATTGGAACTTAAATTTTGATGCACAATTTACATATGTTTTATGTTTTCCAATCCATCATTACTAGGAGTGTTGAAAGTTAAAAGCCCGTATTAGTCGATTTTTTTTTACAGACGAGCAATATCGAATTTTACAAGAGTTTAATTTATATCCGAGCGTAGAGGATATTTAAGCCATAAAGTTCGTTTTTGATGTCAGAGAGCCAATAATTTTTTTTGGGGTTCAATCTTAAAAATAAATAATAATTTTTGTCCCTAAACTTAAATTTGGGGACCAAAAATTAGTTAAACTCAAATTTCATCGTGCAGAACCTAAACTTTCAAGGGTCACATGAATATTCGTATCATAGTTAGTTGATTTAATTGGTTAAAATGTTCATGAAAATCAAAAGATTAACATAAATCGATTAGATAAACTTTTCGATTAATCGATTTTCGACTTTGTGGTTTCTTGGTTTCTTTTGCATAGTAAGTGTTAACACTTCTTTTAAGATAGAAACGATCTTAGTTTTTATTTTTCATTTATAAATGCTACTTTAAACTGTATAAATACAACTGTAAGCACTTATCCAAGATAATTTTTAATAGAACACTTTTTTTTCATTTATTCAAAGCCAAAAAATCGGACTAACTTTTAAGCTTCGACTTATAAACGGGTCATTTCTAAAACCAATATGCCCGAAAAATTACGTGACCCTTGGGCTCGTCGTGAAGCTTGGAGAAATCAACCGCCATTTACTTTTCGTCATTCGATAAGACATATTTGGCCAGGTTTCACTTGGGGTCTTGGTGCTTTTGCCATTTATCTTGCCTACGATACTTTGTTCGTTCGTGATAGTCACCATATTGATGGTAGTAAGTCTCACAATGAAGGGGCTACTACTCAAAGACAGCAGTAATTAGTAAATAAAAATAGATTACAATCTATCGATAATAAATATCCTATTGGCTAAGAAAATTGTGCCTTGACCCGATTACAGTATAACCTCGATATAACGATAACGAAGATTATTTCTAATTTTTATGTTTAAATTAGCCCCGATATAACGAAGCTACTAATAAAAGTTTTGACATAACGAAGCAAACCTCCAGCTCTAGAGCTTCGTTAATATCGAGGTTATGTCGAGGTTATACTGTACAGTGTTGGAATATGACCGGAAATGGCCTAAACAGGGACACGCAAAATTTTGGAAAAAAATAAATCTAAATAAATACAAATTTGAAAGAAATACAAATTCTCAGAAGAAATACAAATTTATAAGTATTTTTGTAGAATTCTCAATTTTCATTGGTTTGAATAGATTATTAATCAACTATCAAGTTATTATTATATTTTACATTACATTTTTTTTTTTTTTTTTTCCAAGCAGTCATACTACAACTTTATTATTTAAGATACTAGAAAGAGCAATTTATATGAGTGAAATTACAATTGAATATCTAATTACAGCCAATGCTGTTTTATACTAAAATGTGATTCACCCAGTTTCCAATTGAACCTATATGTGACCTGCCAAGAGCAGAAGCAGCCTCCTTGCTTCTTTTAGATCTATCTCTGATTTTGAATTTACAAATCACTAGCTAGGATCTACTAGCTATTTCTTTTCTTTAAATTTTTCCTATCTAGATCTTGGTAGAAAGACTATTTTATAATTTATCAACAATGAATAAATCAAAAAAATAAACAAATACAGAAAAGAAAAAAAAGAAAATAAATATAAAGGACAATATAAAATAGGGATAAAATATGCACTAATGATATAAAAGTAAAAAAACAAAAAAATAGAAAAAACAAAAAAAAAGAGGTCAAAGTAGGGTGTCCAGGATTATGCAATGTGAAATTATGTACATAATTTACTATTTTTTCGCATTGCATATACTTCACATAATTAAGAAAAAAAGTATAAAGACACATGAGTGAGATTTGATTGGTGAAAAAATATGTTTAAATAAAGTGTGAATTTTAAAAACTTCCACACAAAAAGTTTGAAATATTTTGAAAAATTGACATAATTGACAAATTCTAATTAAAAAAATGTATAATTCGTATTTATCACATAATTAACCTTGGTGAAATCGTATAATTTACCCAATCACATCACATAATCCTGGACACCCTAGGTTAAAGTTATGACTTACAAAGAGGTGTACTATTATAACCTGTACAAGGCTAAAAAAATTATATAATAACAACAATGGTTATATATCTCTCTTGTAAAGTTTTGCTTTATTATTTATTTTTCTTTTTAACCAACTCTGAATAGTTTTGTTTAGCTTGTTTTAATCTATATTTTAAGCTAGGTGCTGCCACTATCCAAGTAGAGAGAAAAATTTAATATATGCTTGTGTAGTTTATAAATAAAAATTTTTTTGTATACAAAAAAAAATATAATATTGTATACAAAGTGCATATAATTTTTTAATAATTATATTAAAGATTTTGTAATATAGTGTTATATTGCTATGGCTTTCTTGGTCACTATATAGCAAAGTAACAAGGTTACTTGGTGCAGAGACTCTACTATTGGGGTGTATATAGGGTAGAAGTAGAGTGTGCTCTAACTTCCACTAGCAGGAGGCAACAGTTTGGCATTGGGTCAGTATATTAAATTAATACTTTATTTGTTATAGGTCAAAAAGGATAATCTCACCTACTAGGATTACTCTAGAGGGAGTATATTACTTTATACAAAATAAGAATAGTAAGAAGATAAGGCTAGATTCTATGAAAAAGTAGAGAAAGCTAACTAACTCTAACTTGAGTAGAAGGGGCAAAGGCTCTCTTTTTATAACTTTTCTACATATAAGAGGTGTAATAGCATAACTGCCAAACTGTGTAGAGATACTAAAAAGTATTCATGCAAAGATACTAAGAGGTACCTATGTAGAGGTACTAAGAGATATTTATATAGAGATACTGAGAAGTACTTGTGTGGAGGTACTAAGAGGTACTTATGTGGAGGTACTAAGAGGTACTTGTGTAAAGGTACTGAGAGGTACTCATGTAGAGATACTGTAGAGGTAGGACTCCAAAATATATATAGAGGAGTAAGGTTTTACAAAAATTACTAAATTTAGAAAGATCTGCAGAAAAAAAGTCAAAAATAAGCAAATTAATTACTATAAATAGAAATAATCTACACAAAAAGGATTAAAAATAAGCAAACTAAAACCTTACCCCTACATATATATTTTGGGGTCCTGTAGAGGTACTAAGAAATACTTGTGTAGAGGTACTGAAAAGTACTTGTATAGAGGCATTAAGAAGTATTCATGTAGCATTACTGTGCCTCATTTAACTAGCCAATAGAATCTCTATAACTACTATAATATTATAAATATCGATATATAGAATATAATATAATTTTTTTTTTTTTTTTTTTCCTTTGATAACCGCATACTAAAATTTTATTAAATGTATAATGCTTAATACAAAACCAAGCTACTTTAATAGGAAATTAGACTAAAAGCCGGCTATCTCTTAAAGATGCCCAACCTTGGTTATTGCACTGATGTTGGCCACTATACCCCACATATGGTGCGCCATATTTAAAGATATAATATAGCTGGGGCTCAGCTCCCACCTTAGAACCTCTTTTCTTTTCTAATTCTTCCTTCTTCTCAAAGGGCACGAGACAAAAGAGAGAAAAGTTTAAATCAAAAAACAAATACAAAAATGACCAAAAAGAAAACAAACAAACAAAAAGAAAAAATAAATACAGATTTCGAAAAAAAAAAAACATGAAAAGAAAACTAAAACCCTAAAGGCACTATTATAACCCATACTAGGTTAGTAAAAATTATATAACAAATGCAACATTTGTATATCTCTTTTGTAAAAGCAAAGCTCTACCTTGGCATTAAAATTTTCTTTCTGACTTTCCCACCGAGTTTGAATGGCTCCGTTGTCCGAGGACCTATATCAAGGCTCCCTTCCACTGTAATTAGAGTTCCTGGGCCGAGTCCCATGCAGTAGCGCCATATCCGTCCGTAAACAAACACGTGGTTGCAATCTACTAGTCCGTCTAAATTTGGGAAGTAAACAATGCCGATCTTTTGGAGAGAGTAAGCCAAATCCCCACTTTTTGTCAAAAAATTTTGGAAGAAAGGCAAGAAAGCAAAAAAAGGATAGTAGGTACCACTTGGTCAATAAAAAGAAATGCAGCTTAAAAGAAGCCCGTTCTTTACTGTTTCCCAGTTGTTTCGCAACCGATAGCTTTATTGACAGTAGGCTTGGACTTCTATCACCTCCACCTATCCACCAAAATTTCGTATACGAGGGCACCATCTTCTGCTAGTTATCTTATATACAAACACTTTTGGCTTGCATGTTAAATATATAAAGGAGTCCCCAAGATAGCAAAAAGGTTAATCTTTATAAAAACCGCCCTGTTAATTCACCTCACTACAAGTTACTACTCTCCAGTATTGAAAATAGGCTTTTCTTTTTGTCAGAAAATTTGGTCCAAGTGATCGTCGGAAAGAGTTGAAAATATAAATATAATATAATAATATAATAACTAATATTAAATAAATATAACTAATATATAATAATACAAATAATAAAATATAATCTATACTATACTATGCTAATATTATATTATATTACAACCTACTTTGTAACAATAGTACACTTGCACTATAGTATATCCCTAGCTATATTTCAAAATTTTACTAGAGTAACTCTGTTATACAATTAACAAAAAATGATCCTCTTACAATTTTACCTAACTTTAATCTAAACCTTAACTCTAACAAATCTTAATTAAAATTTGCTATATTTTAAAATTTTACTAGAATAACTCTCTATCATATAACTAAGTAAAATGCTTCTCTTGCAATTTTACCTAATTCAAACTTTAATTTTAACTCTAACTTTAACTCTAATCCTAACTAATCTCATTATTAGATTTAAATTTGCTATAGGAGTGTATTGCAGTGCAGAGTGTACTAAATTCTAATTTTTTTATATTAAAATAATATATGCAATATAGTTAACTCTGTTCTGCTATAGCAAACTTTGTATATACTAAGTCTAAAATTTGGTGTGCAATATATATTAAATTTTGACTTTAAATTTTTTTTCTTATATCTGAAAAACTGTATCTCAAGCCACCTGTTACTGTTATTACTTATTTTTGCAAGTAATACAAATTTAAAAAAAGAAATTGTATTTGTAAATAAACTAAGAAAGTTTAGAATTAGTATAGTCAACTACTAATATAACGGATATCTTTAGACCAGTTTCACTGACTTAACAGACAAATTGCAAAGAACCAAATTTTTAGTATATAAATAATTTATAACGTTTATAACAGATTAATAATAAAAAAGTCATACAATTGAAATTTTTTTTTAGCCCAAATTTCCATTATATAAATAGTTGACTATATTAGGATTAGTGTTAGAGTTGTGAGCTTTAGTAATAATATAAGTTTTTTTTATATAAAATTTTATTCCTATTATTTGTTATTAGTTCAACAAGGAATATAAAAATCACAAACTCTTTTTAATAATCCTTTTGACTGAATTTCTAAAAAAAAACCAACTATGTTTAGCAATATATAAATAGTATAGGAATATTTAGCAAGAAGTTAGAGAAACTATAATAGCAGCACCTGTTATTTAGAAATAATTTTTATACACTATTTGCCAACAAACTCAAAATTATCACTTATTGCAAAAATGAAGCGGCACTTGTTATTTAGAAGTAGTTCTCATATGCTATTTCGGAGTTTATTACTTATTGAAAAACCCTGAAAAACTCAGCTTGGCTCTTGGTAATCACTATCAGACTCTATATACTTACTTTTTTTCTTTTTATTTTGAAACTATTTCTTTTCTCTACCTCCTTTTGGTCTTTCAAAATTTTTTCAAAAAAGTAGAAAATCTGGCATACCTTCTCCAAAAGATTAGCATTGTTTATCTTTCTAATTAGGTAATAACCACTTGTGATATGCTAATATGAAATACAATAAAACACATAGCACTATAAATAGATCTAACTACATTAGACTAGAACTTGCATACAACTATTAATACTGGTTGTAGGCCAAAAT